TTTAAGCGAAATGTTAGTGCTGCGCTTCAGATTCCTGTGAAGACAAAGAAGGGCGTAGGTTGTTCGTTATTGGAAGCCATTGCAATGAATTCAGAACCTCTGAAGAGCCACCCTTTTGATTAGTTCCAAATTTCGGTTTATACTGCTTTGATTTGAAAAATAAATTTCTGAATGATTAGCTGTCGTAGCTCAGGTGCCGTCAGTCAATTATCAGCGAGTGACCGCTGTATTGTTCTGTTGTTTTAGGATGATCTAGATCTGCCAGTGAAGCTGAAATCTGGCTTTTTGGGTGAGTACATTTTTAGTATTTTGTACAAAATAACTGATATACTGTACCTTTGCGTTTTTAAGCTAAGCTGACGCTCAAGATCCCGTGGAAGAACTTGTACACCGAACCGGTCGTGGCCGAAGTGGAAGGCCTCTATGTTCTGGTTGTGCCAAACCTAGGTGCGTTTGATTCGCTTCTGAGCCATCCGTGGTTGCCGAATCGCCTTCATATCAACATTCTGATTTAGGCATCAAGTACGATGAAGCTAAAGAGCTCAAGGCTCAGCTGGAATCCAAAAAAGCCGAACTGATGCGGATCGAACAGGCTGCTCTTCAGAAGTCAAGTGTGACATCTTTTCGTCATTTGTGAAATACAATCAGACGCGGTTTTTTTACATTTGACAAAATAAGTAGTAGTTTTTCTGACAGGTCGCTAACTCTTTGCGCTTTCGCGTAACTGTCTTAATAGTATGGCAGTTAATACGATGGAACATTATTGAGGTTATTTCGATGTTGGTGTCTGCTTTATATCCTGGCTTGCATCGCTTGTATTTCAGAAGCCCTCTATCTTTCCGCTTCATGTCGCTTTGCTTTCATCATGTTTCCAGTCAGATTTTTCATTGAGTTTAAGGTTTAAGTGATTAGTGCCGAATCTCACCTACAGAGACGCCTTTTAGTCCAGCAGATTCTTTATTTTACAACAGATATAGAATTGCGGTATGGAGCATTTTCGAAGTATGAGTATGACAAACGTTCCATTGCTACGAATTTTCCTTAACATGTCACAGGCTCCTGTTGCTCTGTACAATTAGCACATCTTCGTTATGCGTTCGAAATTTTTGTTACTCTGAAACAAACCAGACTGC